AAGTCAAAAACCACCTCAAGCGAGCGTAAAAACTTTTTTGCGAATTAAGGGATTTTTATTTGAAATTTGGTGTTTCCATCCCTCGTTTCTTATGCAATACTTCAAAATGCGCATTAAAATAGGGTGATGGAAACATATTGTAGTTCTTGAAAAGTTAAGAATGGAAATAGGGCACACACCAGGGTACTGACCCGTCAGCCTCAGGGTCGAGTATTACAGCCAGCTCTGTCAGAACCAGACCAGCGAGGTAATGCTGCTCTCTGAAGGGCACAGACAGCTCAAACATGTTGGCAATCTTTTGGTCCTGGACATGGGTAGAGAATCCAGAACTCTGGTGGAAGACAATGAGAAAGAAAAACAAAAAAATGGGAGGAAGGTTTTCATTACTATCAATTTTGGTGTAATTTAGAGTTTATTACAGTTAACTTTCTCAGTTAGTGTTCATACCTGAGATGCGGCAGAGGAGACTCGTCAGCCTCAGGGTCGAGTATTACAGCCAGCTCTGTCAGAACCAGACCAGCGAGGTAATGCTGCTCTCTGAAGGGCACAGACAGCTCAAACATGTTGGCAATCTTTTGGTCCTGCACTTGGGTAGAGAAACCAGAACTCTGGTGGGAGACAACGAGAAAGAAAAACAAAAAAAATAGGAGGAAGGTTTTTATAACTATCAATTTTGGTGTAATTTAGAGTTTATTACAGTTAACCTTTCTCAGATAGTGTTTATACCTGAGATGTGGCAGAGGAGACCGAAGGAGAGGGGGAGGCTGGGGGTGTAAGTAGACTGAAGGGCAGGTTTAGAGTGACGTAGTGTTCATGGCTACAGATGATCCTCAAGAAGTCTAGTCTCAGAGACTCTAGAGTGGGGTTCTGTAGTGCATAGAGCTTGGTGGACACCTGGAAACAGAAGGAATAGAAGGCCATCAGAAAAGACAATGTGTAAAAAACATAGCATGTTTGGAGCTGAATTGCAAGGTACCTGTTTCCAGTAGGTTTTGATGAGAGAGAAGACAAAGCCTCTATCCATGACTGACAGGAGGTCATTGAGGAAGAAGGCCAAGCTGGTGTTGAGCCTTTCCACCAACTCAAGATCCTAAAAAGACAAAAAAGACAAACATGAAACAGCAAACTCACCACTTCAAAAGTTTAAAATAATTAGAACAAACAGACATACTGGAAATCATGTTTTTTCTTGACTGATCATCTGCAAGAATTAACCATTGAACTTCAAATTATACTTAAATGACAATGTCATACTAATTTTCATTTATTTGTTTCTTTTTTATATTGTTTTACATAATATAATTATCACCATTATCATATAAATATCAATATCATATGCAACATGCACTGAAATACATAAAGCAAATGAATAATATTATAAATTCTATAATTATACATATATTTATGCAAAAGAAATCTTTTGTAACAATATCGGTCTTTACTATCACTTTTTATTGATTTAACATATCCTTGCTGAATAAAAGTATACATATCTTTCAAAAAAAAAAAAGTACTGACCTCAATCTTTTGAATGGTAGTGTATATTGTTACAAAAGACAATAAAGTTATATTCTGAATAAATGCTGTTATTTTTTACTTTTTATTTGGCAAAGAATCCTGAAAAAGGTATCATAGGTTCCAAAAAAATAAAAATAAAAATGAATCCGCACAACCTTTTCCAACACTGACAATAAATCAGCATATTAGAATGATTTCTGAAGGATCATGTAACACTAGCTGTTTCCATCCAAAGATGCGAATTTAACTTGTGCGCAAAACTGCAATATCGCATAAAACATTTGCGAATAAAGCACCGTTTCCATCCAATGAGTCAAAGAGAACAAAATCATCACTTCCTGATAAACTGGCACTAAATATCTCTAAGAAAACTAGGAGAAGCCACTGAATGTAATAATTTTCACATATAATAAATTACTTGCACCTCAGAGCGAGCAGACGTAACACAATAAATGCTCGCAATGCTTTCGGAGGTGGCTGCTGCTGTTTGGGAACTCAGTTTCGGAACTTTCACACTTAGTAACACATACAGATGTTCCCTCACCACAGTGCAACAGTGAAAAGTGACCCCTTTCAACCAGTGTCGCGTTCCGAACGTTGTTTAAGCGACATACACCAAGTTATCCCGTCTCATAGCGCAAAGTCACATGACTTTTTCGATGAGCATGGAGGAATTTATTCGGTAAATGTTATAAGTGTTTCCATCGTAGTTTATGCACATTTTTTCTTATCGGATAAAAAGTTTATCCTACTCAAATGTGCGTATACGTTTTTTATGCGCATTTTTAGAATTTATGTGCATCTTGGCGTTTCCATCCAGCGTTTTTTATGCGATATTCCAAAATGCGCATAAAAATAGGTGGATGGAAACGCAGCTACTGTAGCTCACGCGCACACTTTTATTAGTCACTCAAACAGATCACGCTGCGCGCGCACAGACATTCAGCAACAAACATCTCAGCGCTGCCCCGCAATTTTATCAATAAAATAGCTTAATTGCTGAAGAGCTACATTATTTTTCTCAACAAGGAGCTGGTAACATCATTGTTTCTAAAGCAATTAAAGCCACAGATTCACTGTTAATAGAGAAACGCGGCAAACCGGTGGTAATTCATGCACACACAGATTCTCTCCCTCTCGTAAATAAACACTTAATGAATTACACTTTTCTGAGAATAGAATATTAAAGTGGAGATCGCTAAACTGCAAACTAACCGGTGTTTTCAGAAAGCAAGCGCGTTTATCCACAGTGCAGAGAGAGCGCCTACACATGGTTGCCAGGTTGACCAAGAGAGGTAATACACTTAGCAGATATTTCAGTATTGCGCAAGTGGGAAGCTCTGTTTCGGGGATTACGTTTCTTTAAGAGTAATATAATAATGATATTATTATTTAAAACAAAATAAAAGTTATTTCATGTAGTTGCAGTTTTCTCACCTTCTGGAAACGTGAGATGATGTCACCTGCAATGGTGCTAACCAGAGCGGTGATGTCATCCATGAAGCGCTCAGGGAAGCGGTTCTTCCTGGGAAACTGCAGGCGGTCAGTAAAGTATAAGTGGTGAATGATGCTCTTAACCTGAAAAGAGAAAGAACATCGTTTTTTTCCCTCACAATAACAGATGCTACACTTTTGATCATGAAGGAGGAAGCATGGGGATTTATGATTGGGGTAGTTCTTACCATAAGCTCAAAGAAGAACCAGGCCTGTTGCAGGGCTCCCTCCCTCACGCTGCCACTGCTGACCACCCACTGCAGGGCAAGCTCCTCATGAAAGAGCTGAGAACAGGAAGGAACCATCAAAGAACCATTCACCATCAAATACACTGCATATAGGTCAGTATGTCTTAGTTCTACTATGGGATATGATACGGTCCTTTGACATAAGGTCCACTGTATTGCTGCAAGAGTGGGGAGAATTCATTATTCTACAGATCCAACATTAAACAGATAAACTTCCCATTCGAACACCGTACCCGTTACCGGGGCAAAATCAACAGGGTGCTCCATACCACAAGTGACACATCATTCCCTCTTCAAACAGTCTTTAGGTGCATTCATAGTAAAGAGGTGCCAGTCATTCATAGTAAAGAGAAGAACATGTACCCAGCATCCACAAGAACATGACAACTACAGCAACAAAACAACATCAACAACAACAACATCCAGTCATTCCAAGACAGACAGGCGCAGGTGAGGCGAGGAGGGGGTCGGCTCCTGCCCTCCGGGAATTGGGTCTCTACCTTTTTGGTCGGCAAGCGTCCTGTTAATGTTTGCAAGAAACTGGCGCTCTCAGTGTGCGATGACATGCGATTGCCACTGCGCTCCATGGCCTACGGTTGGGGATGAATGGAAGGGTGACAATAGATTAGTGTGGAGGACAGGAGTATGTGGTGCCATTCACTACCAATACCTACGCACAGACACACGCACACACACACACACACACCCTCAGCCCACACGCACAAAACACAATACAGAACGAGACTGCACAAACTGTAATATTGTAATAGATAAGTAATTAAAAAATTGTATTACTTTTACATTAAACAATTAGTTTCCATCAGACAAATAGCTATTCTGAGGGACATAGTCTACACAGTAAGGAGACTGAAGAGATTTTAAAAAGTGTTTTGGTGTGCGGCTGAATAAATAAAATAAAATAAATAAGTCTGCATGTAATGCTTTAATGAATCAGACTATTACAGGCACTGAGTAATGAGAAAAGAAAATTATTAGTCTTAACCAGGTGCCGGTTATTAAAAAAAAAAAACACAAACAAACAGACAAACAAAACATTCACACACACGCATACATGTACATGCAGCATATAATAACATGCCAAGCAGAGAGAAAATGGAAATTGGTTAGTTATGCCCATGCAATGCTTTTTAGAGTGAAATGGTGAATAAGAAAAAATGAGGTGGCTTTGGAAATGACTGTTTAAGAAGAGTGAACGGAGTTGAGGAAGTAAAAAAAAGAAAAAGGAAAATGGAAGTAGAAGAGGAGTGTGCCATGGAGTTATCAGATATTGCTGTTTTAGTGCTACTGGGAACGACTGTGTGAAATGGGGATTCTGCTTTGTATTTGGGGGTTGGGATAGTCAGAATGACCTGCTTAGCATCGGATGATGAGCCAGGGCTGGTCCCCCAGGGGGAGCTTTTGCACCCCATGGTATGCACCCAGGAGTTGGAGCGATCTAAGCCCTGCAAGCCAAGGATGGCATCAAAAGGATCACGGGCAGACGCAAGCAAGCCAGGGAACAGTGAAAGGTCAAAAGTTACAGGTCAATGAGATCAAGTGAGCAAGGGAGCAAGTTAGTTTATATTAATTTCTTATCTTTGAACAGCAACAGGTTAGAGTATCAAGCATCTTTAAGTGGTAACAAAAGGCTTAGTTTGGCACAGTTAGCACAGAGAATGCACGATGTGAAATCAGGCTGATTCATTCATTGCAATGGGGGAAAAGGGATCACTGGTTAGCACCAATAATTCATAAGTGTACCTCAAATAAAACATCTTAAACATCTTCAGACCATTTGGTACATTATAAAAGCCATGACCGCTACATCATGTACACTACCTTTCAAAAGTTTGGAGTAAATTAATACTTTTATTCAGCAGAGATGCAATAAATTGGTCAAAAGTGTCAGTAAGGAAGGATTTGTACATTGTCAAACAAAATCAGCATATTAGAATGATTTCTGAAGGATCATGTGACATTGATGAATGAAGAAATTAATACTGAAAATTCAGCTTTGCCATCACATGAATAAATTATTTTTTTAAATATATTTAACTAGAAAACAGTTATACTGTTTTTTATGTATTTCTGGTCAAATAAATGCAGACTTGGAAAAGCAGAAGATACTTTTTTCCAAAAGCATAAATCTTACTAACCCCACACATTTGTAGTAGTGTATGTAGTGAATTTTTCTGAAATCATCATGAGAACATTCAACAGATTTGCAATGTAATTTGGAGCAGTTTGAATAAAACTGCAATCATTTAACTTATTAAATGTAGATTTGCTAAACATATGATTTGCATAATTCCTTGTATGAACTGGGCGCAACAATTCAACAAATAACTGAGCTATCAGCTATACATTCAAAGGCAAACTGTTGAATGGATTATACCCAATGATCTCTCAACCACACATTCATTGTGTTATAGTTAATTTTTGTTTTTCCTTTTGCAAGATTGCGTAACATGGGTTAAGTACATAAAATGTTCCAGCTAAAGTTCGTCTTGCTGGTGAGCTATAGATTGATCTGTAACATTGAGAGTTGCTGATGATCAGTGAAATCAGCAATCTAGTGCAGAAAGTCAATGACCTATAAATGCACTCATAATAATGAATACAATTAGTCACATCCAGCTGGAGCAATCAAAGCATGTCTTAACAGCACTAATAAAATACTTTTCGATGTGTATATAAACGGCGATGCATCTATAATATTATTAGAAATACATTATAACCAACAGAGCTGCTGAAATGTGTCTACCTACCTTGCTGCCAATGATGGACCGTACTTCATCATCTGGGGAAGTTGGAGTGCCAGAGATGTCTGGGTTGCTGTTGCTAAGGCTACGAGAGCGGTTGAGGTTGAGGCTTGCAGGTCTAACAGAAGAACGGGCCATGGTGGCATAATGCACTGAACCGCCCAATCCTCCTGGGCCTATTACGCAGAGCAGAATAAATCAAAACTGAAACACATCAGATTGACAACTAATTTAACCAGTCATCAACTCTCCAAAAGCCACAGATTGAGACACATAAATCAAAGGATCAAGCTGAAACCTGACCTGGAGAGGGGGAGTTGGGGTCCATGTTGGGCAGGCGGAAGACATAGTGGATATATGAGGAGAGAAGGCTGTTTCGCCCATGCATATCTTGACTAGTGTCCAAGTACTTATGTAGACGGTTCACTATGGATGCCATCACTTCAAAAGAAGCCTGACCAAGATTCACTACAGTAAAGAGAAAATAAAACACAAGATCTTTAAGAAACAACAGCCAAAGTCAGGAGACTAACAACTATTTTATGCAGTTCTCACAATCAAGCTATACACTATTTTTTAAATAGAAAGTTGCACTTAAATATGGAAGAGAAATGACTGAAGAGGTAAAAATACAACAAATACAACATTCAACATTCAACAACAGTCATAGTTTAACTTTTGATCATTCAAAAGACCAATTTAGAAAGTTATACAACCAACTTCTGATTCGACTCCAAAACGAATCTTTCAGTCTGATATGTGAGCTGGTTAAACTGGTTGAAAACAACTGATTTAAAGACTGATTTGTTTGTGAATCTGTGGTTTGGAGTAAATGTTAACAATTTTGATTTGTCATCGAACTACCAATTTAATATTAGATAAGTTAAACTGAATCCATGCAAAAATGAAAATTCTGTCATCATTTATTCACCCCCATATTGTTCCAAAACTGTATGCATTTCTTTGTTCTGTGAATTGCAAAACACATTTTAAAGAACGTTGGGAACCAAACATCAGAGCCCATGAGAGAGAAGAAGAAAAAAAACGAAAAAAAACCCCCGGCATTTATCAAACTATTTTTTTCTGTTCCACAGAAGAACGTCATTCAGTCATACAGATCTGGACAAACATGAGGGTGAGTAAATGATGACAGATTTTTCATTTCTGGTTGAACTGTCTCTTTAAAGTAAAACTTTTCTGTGATTATGTAGGTTGGAGGACACAGGGTACCTATCTGGCCGGCTATGACAGGTGGCCGCACCATCAGCAACACCAGTTTGTCCAGCAGTAGGTGGAGGAAGCGCACCACAGGCTCCAGCTGAGAGGAATTTAGAGCTGCTATACTAGACTTCAGCTCAGCCTCCAGATTATTCTCCATAATGCGCATGTCTCCTATCCTCACAGGGAACATATGCTCATCCAGCGCATGCACCAGTGCAAAGAACTTATCTAAAAACTGGTCCTGGGCAGAGGAAAGAAACACATCAGAGAATGGAGAAGTGGGCTATTAATCAGTACTTTGACAATTTAACTACTAATTACCTGTGTGTGGATGGTGGATGCAGTCACAACCTCTACATTAAACACCCCTCTGTGGTTATCCACCCATTTCATTCCAGGAAGGGGAACCTACACACAAATGCATGAATGAACTTGCAGTATAATTTCTTTGTATTATTACACACTGCTACACTAAAATACTCTCAAACACACTTCCTTCAAATCATAATTCCCACTGTAGTGTTACAGCATTACTAACAATACAGGTATAATAAATCAAAAACATTTAAAAATATTAGAACTTGGTCTGTAAAAAAAGGGTAATGGTAAGAAAAAAAAATTCAAGGTTCAAAAAGTTATTTTTCTGACAACATCAATGACCAATGAGGAAAGTCTTTTAACAATTAATTTATATAAATGAGGGATACATGATACTAGATACTAAACAAGGCCATTCAAAGAAACTAATCATATTTAACTTAGGCCCAATCCCAATTCTATTTTATACCCCTTCTCTATGGAAAAAAGCCACTAAAAGGGTCTGAAAGTTGCTCGTGTGTGTGTGAGACGCGGGAGCTGATGGCAGGGGGCGGTGGATATTTGTGGCGGTCAATGTGGATATTGTGGATGAGTTCTTCTGTGTCATCACGTTCTATTAGTTGTACAGCTTCAGTTTCGGAACTTTCACGCTTAGTAACACATACAGATGTTCCCTCACCACAGTGCAACAGTGAAAAGTGACCCCTTTCAACCAGTGTCGCGTTCCGAACGTTGTTTAAGCGACATACACCAGTATTTTAAAAATTCATATCATAACAAAAATAAACACCGGTATTCGATATGAACCGGTATACCGCCCAGCACTATGAGCAGGATACAAAAATCTATGAACATACCGGTGAAATCATGGAGCTGGGGAAGGGTTTCCATCACAATGCCTATGAGTGGTAGGTAGAGCAGTGCAACTCGAGCTTTGACCTCAGGGTCAGCATAACGTGGGTCCGAGTCATGACTGGACAGCAGATTATGAACCACGCTGATGACCTTCTTATGAAGACCAAACATCCTATAGAGTAAAATGACATATTTGATAGATGTTATAAATAATTAAAATACTTAAATAATAAGTGTTAGAAATACTTAAAATAAAAAAATAATTAAAATACTTCATTTAAATGATGAATTATATAATAATAAAATATGTAAAAATAAAAAAATAATATACATAATTGTAAATATAATTATAGTTATTGTTGGTTTTGATTGCTTCTATTGTCCTCATTTGTTTGCGTCTGCTAGATGACTAAATGACTAAATAATTGTTTATTATTATAGTTAATGATTATTGTACACTATCATTCAAAAGTTTATGCTTACTAAGTCTGCAAATATTTAATCAAAAAATACGGTAAAAACTGTAATATTGTGAAAATTAAAATTTTTATTTCTTAGTTCTATTTTAATACGTTTTAAAATGTAATTTATTCTTGTGATGGCAACGCTGAATTTTCAGCAACCATTACTGCTGAACACATGATCCTTCAGAAATCAATGAATATGCTGAATTAGTACTCAAAAAACACTTGTGGTTGTGCTGGTTAATATTTTTGTGATTTCTTTAATGAATACAAAGTTCAAAATAAAAGCATTTATTTAAAATATAAATTAATGCTTCCTTGCTGAGTGAAAGTTTTTTTAATTGTGTGTGTGTGGAAAACGATCTACCGTGTATCCAACAGGCGTCTCCAGTGGCGTGTTCTGTTTCTGTTGACAGCTGACATGATAGAAAGTAAAAAGGATGTGATGATGGTCGGTCAGCGAGGCTGGTAGCTTGATTTTAACTTCATCATGGAAATCTGGCGATCTGAGGAAACAACATTTGATATACAGAAAAAAATAAATAATAAGAAAAAAAAAAATCTAATGTCAGTGTCTATAATCCATCTCTCATACAAAAGCAAACAAAAACTTGACCAACAGTTGTTTCAAATTCACATAGAACTGACCCTGCCGCTCCATCTACTGATGTTTTATCTCATGTTAAAGACTTCTGGGTGAAGTCTTATAACTGAGATTTTAAAAAATACAAACAAACTCACCGATTATGATAGACTACAGCAGTGTACGCCTCCTTTGAATACTCTGCACAACTGGATTTCCCAAAGATTACCTAAGAGACCAAGGAGTGAAGAACTGTAAGCATATTATGCCATTTCCCAAAGTCAAGAGAGTGCTTCCCTATGACATGTTTGGTCACACGAAAACTGTAAATTGATATGCATTCTGTCAAAACTTACAGGCATAGCATTGCTAGGATCTTCCCCATTCATGAACTGTACTTTCACTGTAATGTTACGAGCTGAGCCTTGACGGTTAGCAAAGTTCAGGCTCTGTGGGTTCACATACAGCAGGTTCCTACACACACAGGTAGACAGAGAAAGAGAAATTATTTAAACATCAAAAGTTTGATGCTCTAATTCAATAAAACAACGTTGGAATCTAATTTCATTTTTTAAATATATTTAGAAGTTCCAGTAAGTTTTTTAAATCTTAAATTCAAAGATTTGATCATTTTATGTGTAATTAACTTTAGAAATGTTTTTCTGTTGTCACAGACAATTCCTTAAAGGGATAGTTCACCAAAAACTGATAATTCTGTCATTAATTACTCACCCTCATGTCATTCCAAACCTGTAACCTTCGTTCATCTTCAGAACACAAATTAAGACAGTTTTGATGCATTCTGACAGCTCTCTGACCCTCCCATAGACAGCAAGGGTCCTTACACGATCAAGGCTCAGAAACGTAGCAAGGAGATCATTAAAATAATCCATGTGACTTCAGTGGTTCAACCGTAATTTTACGAAGCAACGAGAACACTTTTTGTGCGTAAAGAAAACAAAAATAACGACTTTATTCAACAATTAATCTCCTCCGCACCACCCTATAGTGCCATTTTGGAGAGTATCACATATGTAATCAGCGTATGTATGCGGATACGCTGCTTATGTTCAGATCAAAGCGTAAACAAAGTAAACAGCGTATCCGCGTACGCTGCTGCTGACACAGAACAGCATACGTTGTTTACGTATGTGATACTCTCCAAAATGGAGCCAGGGTGACGCGGAGATGACGAATTGATGAATAAGTCGTTATTTTTGTTTTCTTCACGCACAAAAAGTATTCTCGTAGCTTCGTAAAGTTACGATTGAACCACTGATGTCACATGGATTATTTTAACGATCCCCTTGCTATGTTTCTGAGTCTTGATATTGTAAGGATCCTTGCTGTCTATGATGAAGATGAACGAAGGTCTTACAGGTTTGGAACGACATGAGGGTGAGTAATTAATGACAGAATTTTCATTTTTGGTGAACTATCCCTTTAACTGAAATTAAAATATTTAAAAATGAAATAGAAATGTGTCCATGAAATAAAAACTAAAATGAAATCAACAGTCCCTTCTTAAAATTTACATAAAACAACTAATCAATTTAAGAATAGCATAAAAAAAAAAAAACTTGTAATTTACACCAAATTTTACGCTTCAAAAACAATTTCTGGTTACATGTGAAAATGTCTTTTTTTCACATGTGAAAAAGAAAACATGAAAAACATGTGAAAAGATCAATCCCCATTGATCTTTTCATTGCATAGAATTTTGTTGCACAGCTGTTTCCGTTACAGTAGCTGCAGGAACGGACAGAAATACTGCAGTGACATGGAACGCACTCTCCTGGGAGACCACACAGACTGCAAAGGTCACAGACTTTCCAAGGAGCACAGATCTCTCATGCACTCTCAATATTACCTCCTCTCTAATGTGGTGCAAAAGTGACGTTTATTTCATACTATGAGCTTTTGTTCGAGTTGAAAAGGGAAAAAATGGGTAAGGGAGACTTTTACATTGTACACTCAATCATCAGCAGTTTGTTATTCCATTAAAATATTTAAAATGTTTCAATATTAGTTGCATTTGAACACACACACACACACACATAATATATAAATATATATAAACAATAATTGAAAGAATAAATATGACACAGGCAATGTTCTTATGAATACGAAACACACACACACACACACACACACACACACACACACACACACACACACACACACACACACACACACAAAAGAGAGATGCAATAAATTAAAAATGTGGAGCGATTCCAGATCAGTTCTATTAAGTTCAGGAAACCCATCAAATAATAACGGGTTAATCATTTTCTATTTGGTGCAGGGTGTAAGAAGGGACATTGCAGACCTCCCATACCACTCACACACAAGCTTCTCTACACCCTGAATGGCCCCTGGGTACACAATGGGAGTCTGGTTGGGTTTGCTGTGTCCACAAATATGGATTGAGGCCAAACTGTCCGCACCTGTCTGAACAGGAGCAGTTAATCTGAGTGTGCAGCAGGGCAATGATAATACATCACTGCAGCAGCACAGCAGACATAAAACAAGTTAGCTAGCAGGCAAAAAAAAAAAAAAAAAAAAAATTTTACTGACCCGGCGAAC